TCTCTGTTATTACATTGGTTTTAGGATCCCATACCCTGTATCCTGCACCACAATAACCGATCACAAGTGGCTGAAAGACATCTTCGACACTAAGTAATAAATGGCACACTTTTTCTTGCTCCTCTAATTTTGTTCCATTAATTTATAGTTCGTTTATTATGGAATCAAATGTATTTAGATGTTCTTCGATACTCTGTTTTCGAGTATATTTAAAATTGATAAATTTCCTTCTTAGATAAAGACTTGTTAGCGTAGTTTTTCTTTGAAATATGGATCGTAGTTTTTCGATCATATCATATGCGGTGTCACAATTCTTTATATAGTCCAGACGCCTGTCTGATAGTGCCTGCACATGCCCTGGCATCCTTTAGTTTTATCTCTTTGTTCAACTCCATTTTGGTTTCAATAAAATCATATAGGTCCCTTTCATCCAATGCCATCCGCACACGGTATAGCCATTTTGTAAAGTTTCAATTTTCAAGCAGTATAGTGCAATATTCAATGCCTGTTTATTTAAAATCGTCATTCCGTGAATGGTCATTTCGGAAACGTTCCCGGGCATGACGAAACGTTCCCAAAATGATGGTTGCGTTTTCGGAATGACGATTTGATGATTTTAAAGGCGATGAACTTACAATTTTTCAATAATTTATTTTACAATTTCGTCATTTTTTGTTAACAGCAATATGGAGAATCCTGATAAAGAAAAAAATAAGAAAAGGACTAAAAAATAGCTTAAAAAGGATAGTGCAGCTTATCTTCGTCAAAGAGAAAAAGCAAATGCTAGGAAAAGAAAGTTTTTGGATAAGATGACTGAAGAACAGAGAGAAATTAAAAGAGCGAAGGACAGGGAATATTATAAAAAGAAAAAGACAGAAAAGAAAGTGCAGAGAGTTGTTGATATGACCGAACGAGAGAGGCGAAAGCAAAGAAAATGTTGGAAAAATACATCAAAAAAATATAGGGAAAAGAAAAAAGGTTTAGCAAATATAATAAATAATACGCCACCACAATCAGATGACGACTTAGTCGCAGTACCCCCAGGGAGAAGACAAGTAGGTAGAAAAACCGTACGAAAAGATAGGGCGAAACCATACAGAAAAATTAAAAAGCAGGAAGAAACTATAGTTGAAATGAAGCGGAAAATTCAATCTTTAAAGAAAAAATTACAAAGAACAGATGCAAAAATGAAAACTTTACCAAGTCCCGTAAGAAAAGTTGATGCCTTAATTAAAGATATTCAAGTACTTCCTGAAGCACGCAAACGACTTATATATAGTGAAGTATTGACTACTCAATTGCAAGAAAAGGCTGATTCTCTTCCAAAAAATTCAAAAGAGAGAGAAGTCTTTCATAAATGTATAAGCGGAAACATTTTGCGAAAATACAAAATGCTACATATGGCCAAGAGAATTTTACCAACTAGACAAAAGGAAAGACACGAAAAATCAATTTTAAAATCTGATGGCAAAATTCGAGAAGTTATTTTGAAAAAAGAAGTTCGCCAAAAGGTCGTTGATTTCTTCGAACGATATGATGTAAGTCGAATGTGCCCATGTAAGGGGGACTCTGTAAAACATAATGGTGTTAAAAAACAAAGGCGCGTCCTCTTATACACAGTTAAAGACTTGGTTCCAAAATTTGCAAAAGATACTGTATTTCAGTATTATCATATGCGACGCTGTTAAAAGCAAAACCATTTTGGGTCTTACCTCCCAAATCAAGGGATAGAGAAATATGCTTGTGTGTCAAGCATACAAATTTTGAAGAAAAGTTCAATAAACTGAAATATATAAAAGAGCTTACACACGCGTCTATAGAAAAATTGATTGAACATTACACTTGACTACATGAATAGCTTGTGTGAAAAATGCAAAACTCCAGGGTTTCAATTAGAAGATAATGAAGATTCTTTGACATATTTTACATGGAAGTCCATTCAAGAAGATAAAATTGTAAAAGGTGAGAAGAAGACGTTCAAAATAACAAAAAAAGTTCTGATTTCAAGTACAGTCAAAGAGTTGAAAATTTCTTTATTTGAAGATATTCTGGCTATGAAGAAACATTTATACGGCATTTATAGCTATAACAAATTGAAAAAAGAGCTAAAAGACAATTTACAAGAAAATGAGGTGATGATACAATTAGACTTTTCAGAGAATTATACTATGAAGTACGCAAATACAGTCAACACATTTTGCTAAGAAACAGCTATCTATTCATACAGGCGTATATTATTTACAAAAGGGTAAGAGTGATTTGAAATCAAACTTTTTTGCTACAGTAAGCGAAAATTTAGACCACCAAGCACATGCAGTATGAGCTCATATGAAACCAATATTAAAGACAATTTAAAAAAACACACACATTGACACACTTCATATTTACTCCGACGGTCCAACATCGCAATACCGGAACCGTACAAATGTAACTCTTTTATTTTCTTCTATAATTATAACTATGATTATAGAAGTTCCACTAGACTGATTGTAACACACCAAAAGACTTATTTAATTATAAGAATTTATTAATGTTAAGAGTGATTTCTCATGTTCAAACAAATAAATAACTTTCTTATTTAAACCGTTGTCTATAGTTCAAAAATTTCCTCACTTTACCTTATAATATCAATATCGTCATTCCGCCAGCATGTTTGTCATTACAGGAACGGTTGATCATTTCCGGGAACATCACAAAATTTCAATATAATACGTATAATTTGAGCTATTATTTATAAAAAAAAAATTATCACATTGGAAAACTTTCATTCTGTTCATTTAATGTTAATTCCATTTTAAACGTTTTGTATATTAAGAAATTTCTTGAATTTTATGCACGGTAATAGCAATTTGTTTAATTTTTTGACGTATTTTGCTAGCAGAAGATTTTATATCTTTTGTTTTCATTATTGATTATATAATATAGATACATTTTATACCCATGCTATTTGACAACGCTCAAATTATGTGTTATTTTTGTTTTTGGTCATTTTATTCAACTTAGAAAAACGTTCCCGGAATGATAGTTTTCTGCTACATGCCCATTAAAAAGCAATACTACAAAAAAAAAAATATAGAATTCTGTGCGCTGCCCTATCAAAGTTTATTAATATATAAATTTTGCGACAATATAAACCAAGAGTAATCATCATAGCATTTTTTTTTCCATAAAACTAATCTTGAAATTCGCAACCTTGGTGATTTTGAGCCATAATTCCTTAGTATCCCTAAAAGTTCCCCTCCCCACTAATATTATATATTATTAAACTATTGCAACTTACCAGTTTACAAAATTGTTTCTGATTTTATAGTAAGTAACGATATAAAGTTATAAATTTTATTTCACGTTAATTTGAAATATAATTGTTTAACAATGTAGTACTGCACCTCGCTAATTTCAGAGCTAAAAATAAGCTCTTTTTTTTTTGTATATATGATAACACTATACTTGCCACTATGAACCATGTCACTTTGTTTCTTGCGAAATTCGGCGATCGCATTGCTTTGTAACGAAATATTTTTTTTTATATAATATTAAGATCTCTTATTTTAAAATAAAAAACGCGTTAAATGATTTACAATATAGAAATATACAAATCAACTCAATTATGTTGCAGAGTTACATGGCAACAAATGTTATATGTTCTTAGTCAAACTTGTTGAAAGTACTCTGGTTTTCTCGAAGTCTTCAATGATAACAAGGTAACATATTTTTGTAATCCCTTTACCTTATTAGGTTCAAGGAACAGGAAATCTCTTATCTATTATAAGCTATAAAATCTTTTGTTGTAAAATACAATTTCGTGGAATACGTGTATACAACTCTATCAGAAAAATTAATATGATTATCACATAGGATTGTTAATATAAAGATGCTATGGGATAGCTGTGTCATATTTCCGTGATGGTACGAGATACCTAATCACAAAGATCAATATGATTACGCGATAAGATTTTTGATATAAAATTGTGGGGTACTCAATATCTAATTTTTTTAATCTTAATATTACAATTTATATACCTTCAAGTCGAGACTAGAATGAATAGAATATAGAATAGAATCTAGTCTTCCTCAGGGCCATCCATACCAGTCATTTAGGCACACTCAAATACATGATAATGTATGTGTGGCAACCACTAAATAATATACAAATACATAACGTATATATATATATATATATATACAACATAAATAACATATAATAAATATCACACGTAATTATAAAAGTCTGCAGATGTAAACGACCCTTACCAACACGATGCGCGTGCGGAGCTCCGACCATCGAATCAGTTCGCGCAACGCCTCTACTTACCTGGCCGACCGACTCCCCGCACCAGTCCGAGACACCGCGCAACACCAAACGCCACGTTGCCCGCTGTCGCATTGTTTACGCGAGTGTCCGTGCCAAACAACAACTACAATATTGTATAATACTGTATGATGCTAAATATAGTGATGTTATGTTATTACAGATGGGCAAAGCACCGGGTTTAAACCCGGTGCTTTGGTAAAAACCCAATAAACACCCATAAACTCCCATAATCACCCAAAAAAATAGGTTTTTACGTATTTTTTTGAAAATATGTAAGTAATACCAATAAATTATTTTTATAAATTGTATTGATCAATTCTACAATATTAAATAAAACGTTAACTAATAATATTTCAGGAAATTTTAAAAATCTATATATAATAAAATGAAAGTAATTAATTTTCAGTGTTTTCATGTTGCAGTTGATCAACATGTTGGCCTTTTGCTTCCCGTAGATACTTTAAAATTTCTTCATAACACCTCGTTCGCACACATGGCCGTATATATTTAAATTCTTGAGCCACTAACAGTCCGAAATACTCATTTCTTTTATCCTCTTCTCCATAAATTAAGCATTTAGAACAGTTTGTTTCTTCTTTCAGTAAATTTTCTTTTACTTTATCCTCGTTTTTTTCTTTGTTGCGACGACGCTGGGTAAATCATCTGGACACTGGGTCTCACTATCGCCAAATATATTTGGAGATCGGCTTCGGCTACGGCTTGGCAGACATTTTTTTCTTTCTACAATTTTAAATTAAATTTATTAGAATAAATGCTTCGAACACACGCGATCTAAGTACCTTTTGTGTTTATTATACCTTACCTACCTAGGTATAAAAAGAGTACTTACGTAGATTTTCTTTTATTAACTGTTTTATACGAAGATCTTGATCTCTCAAATTAGCATCCATTTTACTTCCAGTGATTATCAACTAAATTAATAATCCACAAAGTATTAAATAACGTTTTTATGAAATATTTAGCACAAAAACAATACCCTTTAAATATCGATCGTCAGTAACTGTGGCTGACTTACCTATATTCTAGCAAGCAGGACTGCCAGATGTGAAGGGGAAATCCCCAATAAATTGTTGCATGTGACTGATGATGTGAGCATGTTCGTTTCATAATAAAAATGTTGCCAGGTAACCAAAAAGTCGTATGTTTTTGTGCGAATTACGATCATAATCTTTACGATCGTACATTAAAAAATAGACAAATAATAGTATGAGTACGATTTAAATCGTATATCTGTCAACCCTGCTAGCAAGACAGCGACAAAATCACGTTGCATAACAATGTAGCCCAAGCTTATATCTTATGAAATATACGGAAGAGATACGGACTTAGAAAAAACAGAAATGTTGTTCTTTGTGGAAGTCATTGATGAAATTCTATGTATTTTAGCCCGCAAACTTTCTTCAAACAAAAACAGCGCCATCTAGTATCGAGTTCTGTAATTATCTCTTTGTTTATGGATTTGAAGTAAGACCGCCACGCATGCAATACATTATGACTGGGGATTCCCCTATTCGTCGACGCTGAATATGAGGCGACGACAATCACTGTCAAACGTGTTCACTATTACTCTGACTCTGGTAACGTGACTTCCTGGTAACGTGTTAGGTAGGAAAAGCAGTAAAAAAGTGCATATTAAGGGAGCAGATTTGAAATAATATTTATACTTAACAAGAAATAATTAAAGGTAAGTGGATTTTTGAATGATACAATTATATCATGATCACTTAACAATTTTAACTTAAAATTAGATGTATTATTACAAGCTTTTATTTAGCTTGCGTTATGTAAATAAAAGTATGTAGGTATGTTCGTATGTTGATGCAATTATCCTCAATCCTCAACCGACTGGGATAAAATTTTCCATACACGTTTATTTTGGATGATAGTGCATAGTTAGCTGAGAGTCGTCATTGGATAATAATGGTGGATAGCCTAAGATGTGTACTAGATATTTATTTTTAACATAATATGCGTAAGTACCTAATCGAATTAAAGAAGTTGCTGAGAAAAATACAGAACAATACGATAATAAACTAGCGTCTGCGTTTAATCCTCCGAGGAGATGTAATTTTACAAAGGTTTTTTGTATTTATTTTATTATTTTTTTAATAAATTTATTGTAAATAACAAGAAATAATCATTGTAAAAAAATAGGCACTCTATTGTTGAATTTTCGTCAGACCAACTAATCATCGTTCATTTTTTTAGGTTCAATGGGGAGACCTAAAGATTTACGCATATGGGAGCACTACCGTACTTTACCAAACAAGTCTGTTTCTTGCAAGCTTTGTAATAAGGTCTACAAATTCAGTAATGCTGCCAAAATGCTTCAACATCTTATCACTTGTCCAAAATCTCCAGAAACATTAAAAGACTCTATGAAACTTATAAAAGATAGCTCGTCCAAAACCAAAATGTCTGGACTGTCAGAGATAGAGACAAATGATTCTTTTATAAGCCCCTCGTCGTCTGCTAACACTACAATAAATGCTGAGTTTCAAGACACCGATGATCATATAAAAACAGAATTAGCGAGAGCTATATTTGTAACAGGGACGCCATTATCGATGGTGCAACATCCTTTATGGATACAATTTTTCGAAAAATTGCAACCAAAATTTAAAATACCTTCACGTAAAGCTTTAGCGACAAAATACTTAGATAAAATATATAGAGAAATGCGTTTTGAATTAAATGAGGAACTAAATGCTTGTAGTTACTTACACCTTCAGTGCGATGGCTGGTCTAATTTAAGAAATGAAGGAATAATAAACTTTCTTATATCAAAACCTCAACCTGCATACGTTAAAAGTTTGAATACAGAAAGTAATCCTCACACTAGTGAATACCTTAGCCAAGAAGTTGAAAAAGTAATGAAAGTGTATGGAGCAAATAAGTTTCTTGTACTTATTGGCGATAACGCTAGAAATATACAAAAGGCATTCGAATTAACAAAACTCAAATATCCACATGTTGTTCCTCTCGGTTGCTGTGCACATATCCTTAACTTGTTGTGCCAAGATATTGTAAAGATACAAGAAGTAACTGTGTTTATTATGCAAGCCATAAATATAATAAAAACTGTTAAAAGGAGTCAACGATTAAGTTCCTTGTTGATAAAATCAAGGCAGGGTGAAGATTCTACACAAACACTAAAATTGCCTTGTGCTACAAGATGGGGAAGTCATGTTACTTCGTTAAAAAGTTTGAAAGCAAATAAGATAGCTTTGCAAATATTAACAGTTAGAGAAGATGTGGTAATTTCAAGAGATATTAAAGATTTAATTCTAAGTGATGATTTCTGGACGAAGACAGGGGAATGTATAAGTATTTTGGAACCAGTCACTGAAAGCATATTTTACTTAGAGAGCGACCAGAATCGTTTGCATCGCACATACATTACATTTAGAGATGTACAAGCTAAGATACGTTTTGCATTAAATGAGATTTCGACATTGAGCGAAGAAAGCAAACAGCAGATTCTAACATCAGTATCTTCAAGATGCAATATGGCAATGAGGCCAATACATTTTGCAGCATATATTCTAGACCCCAGGACTCTAGGAGTCGAACTTACTCAAGAGGAAGAACTTAAGGGTATGGAGTTTATCTACAATTTAAGCCAACACTTAAGTTTGTCAAATGTAATGGCAGATTTGGCGTGTTATAAAGCTAAAGAAAACTTTTGGGCCAGAGGATTTGTATGGAGCTCATTAGATAGCATTGAGCCCCTAATATGGTGGAAAGGTATTTGTGGTTCCACTGAGTTAAGCAAAGTAGCGATTCGTATTCTATCAGCTCCCTGTACTTCGGCAGCCACTGAGCGTTCCTTTAGTATCCAAGGCTACATACATAATAACAAAAGAAATCGACTTACAACTGAAAGAACTGAAAAAATTTCATTCATTTGTTATAACTGGAATCTTAAACATAAAGCTGAATGCGAGGACATTCAGTTTAATGAAGAAAATACCTTAGAAGCTTTCATTGAGCAAGTAAATGAACATAACAGTTTAGACGAAATAGAGCCTATCGAACCTATACAATTCATCGCTTGTAATAACTCTGAATCTGACAGTGATTGACTGTAGTTTTACATTTTACTTTCATCTCTTTCTTAATAAACTCAAAATCAAATTAAAAGTTTTTTATTCTGTAGGCTGCATAATAATATTGTCTATGTCCAGTATAGTGGACGTCTTGCGGCTGAGATGACGATGATGAAGTACAAAATCATAAACACCCAAAAATTTGGGTGTTTATGGGGTTTAAACCCAATAAACCCAAAACACCCGGTTTTTACCCACCAGACTTTAAACCCACCCAGGTGGATTGCCCATTCTCTATATGTTATATGTTATGTTGTATACAAAGAGACTTTCATTCCTGGGGTATAACGTCTCACACGAGGGCATAAAACCTCTCAATAGCAAAGTTGAAGCCATCAAGGAATTTCCCGTTCCGAAAAATGAGAATTTTTCATCATCCCAAAGGCAGCCGAAATTCAAGGACCCTTGAACGTATTGCTGACAGGACCAAGCAAAGCCTCCCGCTCCATTAATATACTCGTAAATGGCGAATCACTTACCGCATTCGAAAAATGCAAAGAGAGTCTCTGTCAAGCGACATTGCTGGCTCACCCTGATCTGGAAGCGAGATTAGCGTTGGGTACTGACGCATCAGACATCGCTATCGGTGCTGTTCTCCAGCAACAGAAAGATGGCGTATGGCAACCATTGGCTTTTTCTCTCGTAAATTGAGCCAATCACAACGAAAGTATTCCCCTTACGATCGAGAATTACTATCCATTTATGAAGGCATTAAACACTTCCGTCACATGATGGAAGCACGACACTTGACAATCTTCACTGATCATAAGCCCATCACCTTCGCATTTGAAACAAGGAAACAGAACTGCTCACCTAGACAATTTCGGCATTTAGACTACATCAGTCAATTTACAACAGATATCCGCCACATATCAGGTAGCGCTAACGTTGTGGCTGATACCCTCTCACGTATCAACGAAATCCAGCAGCTAATTAACTTAAAAACTGGAGGAAGTGGTTGTTAATGTATATCAAAATATTTTTGTTCACTATGTTATTTTTTTAATAAAGGTGCGACACTGGTTGTTTGGTACATATAAAAGTGACACTTTTTTATTCGCTTCGTATTATATTATTATATTAAAATAAATACAGGTTATGGACCATTATTGTGCTTCTACCAAGTTCTCGCAACAGTTATGTTATTAAAAGTATTAAATAATACAAGTTTCAGTAAGAGAATAGTTTGTGTTTGTGTCCGTTTTTGTTTGCGGCGTTTTCGCAAAGCAAAAAAAGGCGTCAAATTCCTACGTCGTTAGTGTACCAAAACTAAAGGCACGAGGAAATTATAGCGAATGGTGCTTTGTTGTAGAGAATTTTCTAGTGTTAGAAGGCATGCTTGGGTGTATCAAGTTGGAGCCTAATCAACCACGTATAGACGTTGCGGACAATGCAAGAACCAAGGTGAAACTGATTCTAACTATAGATCCGTCAATTTACTTTCATATAAAAGAAAGTTAAAACTACAAAGGATCTATGGAATAAACTTTAATCTTTAAACGATGATTCTGCCTTTACAAGTCATATTTGATTGTTAAGAAACTTGATATCAATCAGATTGGAAAATAGTGCCTCGATGAATTTCTATGTTACACAAATTGTGAAAATCGGCCAAAAATTTGGCAGGAGCCGGCTTCAATATTAGTGACGAGTGGATCGGTTCGTTATTATTAGCAGGATTAACCGAGAAATATTCACCTATGATAGTGGCCATTAAACATTGTGGAATGTCAATTACGATAGACGCCATTAAATCAAAGTTACTTGATATGGAACCGGAAGAGAAAGAGACAAATAATGCGCTGGCGAGCTTTCAACAATACCAATATAAGAAAAGTGGCAAGTATATGTCCAAAAGGAAATGCTAAACATGGCGTCCAAGTGTCAAAACCAAACGTCAATCAGATTACGTGCTATCGTTGTAAATAAATCGGTCACTATCGAAATCAATGCAAAAACGTAAATAAAAATTCAACTATCGAAACGGCACAACGTTTATCCGGAATGAGAAAGGAGGCTAGTTACACCAACAGCAGGCCACAGAACAATTGAGGCAATTCGTCCAATCTTTAAGCATTGATAGGAAAAGAGAAGAAAAGGGCCGCTAACATTCCGGCTCACACTGGTACTTACCGGATACGGTTGTTTCGGTAAGTACGTGTGCGAAATTGCCCGCAGGGAAAGATTTTTTTTGCTAGGGAATACCGTTTACCCTAAATATTGAGTGCCAGTTACGCTTCGTTATCGGGATACCAAATGTAATGGTGAATTTACGATTTATTTATTTGGTTTTAAGTTTAAATTTTCTGTTTTTATGTATATAAGTATTATAATTTCATGGTAAGATATGTGGAGTGAATTATATTGATAACCTTGAATGACATATACGGTTTAACCTAATGCATATTTATGACGGTAACTACATTCATTATTACGATATAAATAAATTAAGTTTTTTTTTTTAATTTCCTCTTTTGTTTTTATTCTGATAGTTTAAAATTTTTACTTTTTATTTGTTTCTTTTTTTTTTCCAGGTGCGAATCTTCGGTCGTAGCTGCGAGGTTATAGATATAGAGGTCCATCGCCGAGCACACAATCTCTACACTATCCGGTTGCGCACCCGATGACCGACCGATTGCGACCAAGACCTGAAGCATTCTTTTTGTTGTTTATGTATCTTTATATGTATATTCATATATGTTAACTTATTTACATTTTCTCTGTTCACTGTCTACATTTTTTATGTATCTATCCTATTTAATTCCTTAAGATTGTGTATGATTGACCTAATATGGTCTACCTATGTACGCAAGAAGATTGTATCAATGATCGAGTTCAAACATCTGTTTCTATGCATCCGAAATCCTCAACGACAGCTTCTTACCTTGATGTCGACAATAATGCATTACAATTCCTATGATGTTAATTTTAGGGTAAGCACTAGATACCTTCTTTTTTTAACTAATTTTAAATAGTTTTCTTCCTAATGCCTCAACTTAAATTTATTTCTTTTTAGTTTTACCTACTTTTATTGTTATCAATTGTTATTCGAACTTATGAAGTCAGATTATTTTGAGCTTCAAGTAACTGTCAGTTACAACAGTCCTTTTACTGGTCTATCACATACGCAGATTCGTAATTAATCAATGAGCCTTTTTGTTCTGGTGGTTGTTTATCTAAGTGATATTTTGCTTGGATGTATGATGTGTTTATAGTGTACGAAGCTGTGTTAGTTGGTATTAGTATTTAAGGGGGTCTTCCTATGTGATGGGTTGAAAAAATCGATTTTCTTTTTCATAAATTGCTCCCTTAACATGTCTAGAATACGGTAGTAAAGCGATTTTAGAAAATTCGAAGTCGTTTTAAAGATACAGCAGGTAAAAGGAAGAGCGGTTCGGAGCGCTGAGTTGGCAGTTAGAGCCCGGGCCTATTGTGTACCGTCGGCTTTATACGTGGCCTCCCTTTTATTCATATATCCGTTTATACAAGTTTAGACACGTTTCTACAGACTTAAACAGAAATTTCTATTGTTATAATATTTTACCGAAGTTATTTTAGTCTTGGTTGAACTTCGAAGAGAGCAACAGCTACAAATTATTTTTTTTCATAATGAGTGGACGGAAAGGAAGTACGAGTGAAAATGTTCATCCTGGTCGTAGTAAAAAAAGAAAGTTTAGTGGAAACCGTTTTACCCACCAAAATGATACGGTATTTACATCAGCTTCGGCCAATAAACTTAAAAATAACATGAACATGGAGGTTCCCATCGCTTCGAATTTCGCATATTGCATTTTGGAGTTTGTTTCTGTATTTGCTGCAATCTCTGAAATAGTTATATGTAAAACTTGTAAAAGTGACGTGTCTATTTCGCGATCAAGTTTCCGAGGCCTAGGCTTTAAAATTATTTTATCGTGTGAGTGTGAAAAACAGACAGTTATAAACTCAGGCCCGTTGATCGGAAATGCATTTGAGGTTAATCGTCGGTTTGTATTTGCGATGCGATTATTGGGAGTTGGTCAAGAAGGAGTAAATCTTTTCTGTAGCTTTATGGACATGTGTTCGGGTGTTGCAAATTCTACTTATACTGCACTACTGGAAAACATTCATATTGCTACATCTTCACTGTGTGATACTTTATTGGCATTCGCTGTTACGCAAGAAAAAACTATGAATGAAAAATCAGGAAAACCACAGGATGAATTGACTGTGTCAGGTGACGGTACTTGGAAGAAAAGAGGCTTTTCATCTCTGCTCGGCGTATCTACGTTGATCGGCAAGTACACTGGGAAAGTTTTAGATGTCATGGTCATGAGTAGTTTTTGTGGTGGATGTAATTTGTGGAAAAAAAAAAAAAAACAAATCCTTTAGAATACGAAATGTGGTATGAAACGCATGTAGATGAATGCACCATAAACCATTCCGGAAGTTCCGGTAAAATGGAAATAAGTGCCATCACGAAAATGTTTCTGAGGTCTGTAGAAAAATATGGCGTAAAGTATCTAACATACATTGGCGACGGTGACAGCAAAACTTTCAAGGGGATCCTAGATACTAAACCGTATGGAGATACTGCGGTAACAAAAAAAGAATGTGTGGGTCACGTAGAAAAGAGGATGGGAACACGACTTCGGGCTGTTAAAAAGGATAAAACCAATAAAGGAATAGGAGGAAAAGGAGCAGGTAAACTTACTGATAAAGTTATCCAAGAAATTACAAAATTCTACGGATTAGCAATTCGACGCCATCCAGATTCGCTTGAAGATATGAGAAAGGAAGTTTGGGCAACGTACTATCACAAATGTTCTTCTGATCAAAACCCTCAGCATCAATTTTGTCCAGAAGGCGAAGACAGTTGGTGTAAATGGCGTAAGGCTGAAGCTAATAATGAACTGGACCAATTTCATCACGATAAACCACCTCTAATTCCGCAAGTCCAAGAAGCTATCAAACCGGTTTTCGAAGATTTATCGAAAGACGAATTATTAATTCGTTGTTTAGGAGCAGAGACACAAAACAATAACGAATCTTTGAATTCTTTGATTTGGACTTTCGCTCCTAAACATCTTCATTCTGGTCCCAAAATTGTTGAAATTGCTAGCTACTTAGCAGTTATTATCTTTAATGAAGGTTTTCAAGGTATTTTAAAAGTTATGTCGATTATGGGATGCCCTGTTGGTCGTGAAGCCCAAGCGTATGTTGAGAAACGGGATGAAAAGCGAATCTTACGTTCTGAGCGGCGCGTAAGTGATGTCGTTAAACAAGCCAGGATTGACTCAAGAGCTGAACAATCTGCTTTAAAAGAGTTTCACGAGGAAGAGGAAGGAATACTCTATGGACCAGGCATCGCCGATTGAGAGTAAGTTGATATTTTAATAGTTTTTAACGGACTTGAAACTTTAAACGCGTTTTTCTCAAAACTGTGTTTTTCAAACTTTCCTCCATTGTATCTCAGAAACGGCTGGACCGAATTACTTGAAATTTACAGGGCACACTCAATATATGTAAACGCATGGAATGAACTATTATCAATCGAAAATTTTCAAAACTTCGATTTTTTTATAGCAAAAAACAAAAAAAAAAACGCCTAATTTGCAACTTTTATTTCAAATGTCTATCAAAAATCCAATTTTTTTTATATTCATTTGATTATAGGTCATTCCGTGCTTTTAAGCCTACAAATTAAAACGCCGTTTATTTTTTTTTTTTCAGATAAGCCGATCAGCCGGAATCGTGGAGGAAGTGGGAGCTCTTTTTTTCGAGGCGGGGGTGTTCAGAGCGCTGTAACTCTAGTTTGACTGAATATTTTTAGCTGAAATTTTATATTTATACTGTCCAAATATGTGTTAATAAATGATAAAAAACTTGAAGCTCTAAATATTTACTGGTCGTAGAAAAAAAATCCTAAAATATCCCTAAAAAACAGGCCGTCACATAGGAAGACCCCCTTAATATAAGAATGTATTTAAGATACTTGAGTTTTATAAATAATTTATAACTCTAGTGTCTACTATATCTTGTTGCAGTAGTATTGTAATAAGTAATTATGTAATGTTTATGTAGAGAGTGGCAACTCCTGTATTATTATATTTTTATTAGTGTGTGCTCTCTCTTATTTGTGGCTTCTTTTAGGATAAGGTTCATGTAAAAGAAGTGTTCAGTGAAAAATAAAGATATTAAAATATGGACAATATTGTACTGGACGATACTGTTTTTATAAAAAAAAAAAAAATACTACATCAACCTTCAATAGAAATTTACATCAGGTTCATTATTATGGTCAGTTAAGGTGTTGACAAAATTCCGACAAACAAAATTATCATCTCGTGCATCCTTGCACGTAGTGAGTCGACGAAGCGTCAAGTCGAGAATAAAATTTCAAGATGGAAAAGCATTTCGAAATATTAGCATTTTAATTAGAAGGAGCACATAATTGGTCCAAATGGAAGTTTCAACTGCGTATACAACTTCTTCAAGTATTAGAATTATATGACGTAATTAAACAGGACGCTTCGTCAAAAACGACGTAGGAAGATTTTATTAAAAAGGATCGAAAAGCTTAATCATTGTTTTAAACATCCATGAGAAAATAATGGTGCAAATCATAACCGCAAAATCGGCATTAAAAATGTGGAAGAAAATAACATCCATATTTGAGCAGAAATCATCCACCAGTCTTCATATAGAACAATAGAAGTTTCTCTAGTTAAAATGTGAGGATAATGTTGTACTTTTTATATCAAAATTGAAAGAAATAAGAAATAACATAAACCAACTAGACAGTAATACATCAATCCCAGATAAAATGTTTGTAACTAAAATACTCATGGGACTCACAAGTAAATACAAACATTTCATTGGGGCCTGGGAATTAGTTCCAGAAAGTAATCAAACAATAGAAGAATTAACAACAAGGTTACTCGCAGAAGAGGAAAGAATAAAGGAATCAAGTTCGTCACTGGCATTAACAATAAAAAGTGCTGTACAGTCACAACATCTACAAGTTGCAGCACTTTTAAATTTACTTTACTTTTATTATAGTTTCTTTCACTCATCATCTTCCTTTCATTCAATTTTGTTTTAATACGGCTAGGTTTTAAATTTCTCAAAATTTGTTGGTAACAGACCCCTTTCATTATTTCCTTCCAAGTTTTCTGTTAAACAAATTTTCTGCTTCTTTCATTATCACCCCCGCGGAGTCGGACAGTTTGAAAGAAGCTCTGTATTTAAATTTTTTATTTGTTAAAATGTCGAAATTATCAATAGCCGATATTGAAGAAGTTGTGCAGCGATGTCAACGACTTTTGGAGTTGAAAGTGAGTGAAATCTATGAATTTTTGGATAAGCTACAGTCAAAAATATGTAGATTGGAAACCGTTCGTTATCCGTAAAAAGACTCTCCAGTATAATCAGGAAATAGATCTGCATAGTTTTGTATGATAGACGGCGATAATGGACGACAGTCAATTTCGTAATTGAACTCAAAACTACTATTTCCAGCAAGCATAAATGAATAAATGTTAAATTAATTTGGTGCTGTAAACCGTACTAAACCTAATAACAGTTTTATTACTTTTATTTAAAACTAAAAACAGTAACGGTAAAAAAATGCAATACGTGACCTTGCTTATCTTGTTCAACGACCTCGGTCAGCTGGTGGCACTTGCTCTCTCGAGCTAACTTAGATGTGTATCTTGCTCTAATTAGCTGTGCATTGCGGGTGGATCATCGTTTCGTGTCTACACTTGTATATTTTTGTCATATAAAGAAATTAAAAAAAAAAATCATCTACTGACCTCGCTTGTGCGAATACGTAATATCTTCGTTGTAACCTGTGTCAGGATGTGTACGAGCGTAAGTGTACGACAATTTCAGAACAACGTATAGGTTACTAATCCTACTACATAATTCTGTGAGCACTTCACTGATAGCAGGAGGACAGGAGAAACTCCAGTGATACACTAGCTGTTGTATAAGGTATGTATTTACCAGGTAAGTACAGTTCAATATTAATGTGCAATTATTTACGTAATATTAGATATGGACAATACGAGAGCGAGCGACGTGCGTTGTGCGTCAGGCGTAGTTTTGGACTGCGCGGGGTGCCGCGCGGTGTGATTTGGTATGTTTTTCAGCCTTTTTTTCTTCATCATCTTTTTTTGTATTTCTGACTAATTTTTGTTTTTCTTTTCCAGGTGACTTAGGAGCGGCTTCTCTATTGTCTTCCAGCATGTAGGCGGGTTTTAGTCGGTCTATCGATACTGTAGTGACTTTGCCGTTGAGTACAATTTTGAATACTTTGTCAGATCTTTCTATTACAGCGTGCTGCTTGCAGGGCGCCTCGCACAGAATCTTTCCTTAAGAAGACGTGGCTGGCTGTATTCAGGTCCTTGTACACAAATGTGTTCCATGTACTATGCCCTCTCATGCAGGGGTAGAAATGAGGAAAAATCCATGTAAGCGACACGTAACTATATATTTGTTCTATTCTCTTTATATATGTATATTGTGTTCCTAAGCTTTGAATAAACGCGGGAGTAAGCGGGGCAGCGCCTCTCGCGTGAATTTTGTGAACTTTTGTTGTGTCTCCCTTCGAACGTAAACAAGACACGATCGCGCTGCCTCCCTACACTCTCTGTTAATAAATAGTGTTTTCCTTCTACGTTCCCTACAATTTAGATATTATCTGCGAGTGGCTGACAGGGAGGCCGAAGGAATGCGTAGTGAACCGCAGCGAGTCGGAAGGAGTGGAGGGAGTAAACTGGCGGTGGCTTGGCATGCCTCCCCCCCCCCACCTAACGAAGATGATGACGAGCCATCGTCACCGCTTTTGCCACCGCGCAAAAGATACCGACGCATAAAATAGACTATTATTATTGTAAACCATAATATTGTATATGTATATAGGGGGGAAAAATAATAAACATAGATTATGGGAAAGAGAAATGCAAATACATGAACTACTATAAATGGTAAAATTGGTAATTGTAACCTATGTATAATCATAATATTTAATGTAGGAAAGTAAGTTTTTTACTAATTAAAAGTTATAGATAAAAGGCATAGAGATCGTGATGATGAGGATAGAATTGAACGTAAAATTAAGAAATTAAAGAGAAAACTGAATAAAAAACGTCGTAAATCACGTTCTTCTACGTCACTAGAACCACCGGTGGTATCGGTGGAGGTTGAATCCGATGATTCTGCAGACCTAACTGTAGTGGATTCACTTATAGCAGAACAAAATCAAGGTATGTTTTATCTAAGTTCTTTATTTTCAGCCATAGGTACGCAGTAATGTTTGATCCCTTTGTAACTAGTGGTACTTGTTACAATACGTACTCCAGTCGAGTGACGTACTTATATTTATATAAAAAGAAGTTCTCTTTATTTTTTATATAAAATAAGGTCGGTGGCCTTATTTTAATGCCTGTGTTATGTAATGCTGGTAGCAATTCATAATTATAGAACATGTTTTCCAATTAAGGAAAATAATTTTATTACGGATGAAAACATTACTCCAACATTGGATGAGTCTATATTGTCAGCTCTCGGTAACACCTTTAACACTAATAAAGTATATGGGGAAGACATACATCCTGAAATTATGAAAAGGTTTGAAAATATTTCGACCTGTGGCTTGAAGAAAGAGATTATTAAAAAATATTTAATACCTGCAAATGGTAAATTGTTAGATGTTCCAAGTTAAATGTGGAGCTCCAGGGTCTCCTGACAGACCCCAGACAGGCAGGTACCTCGGTGAGACCTCAGCAGCCAAAACCACCCTGCACAGAAGCATGTGCGTCAATCATGAAGGTAAAAGTTTTTGCTGGCAGCCTTTGAAAAAATTACTAGATTATTAGAGAATCCATCTATTGATCTTTTTGCAACCAGAGCCTATATTAAATGTTCTAAATATATTTCCTGACACAGAGACCCATATGCAGTAAATATTAATGCATTAACAGTCTGGTCTAATTGGTTGAATTATACAATGTTTTATGCATTCCCACCCTTTTCTTTAATCTTGAAAACTATTCAAAAAATTAAATATGATAAAGCAACCGGTATTTTGGTTTTTCTTATGTGAACATCTCAACCTTGGTATCCTCTTATTAATGATATGGCTGTATCTCAAATCATAATATTTCACCCTCGTAAATATTTTCTGATATCACCTTTCAGAGATCCGCATCCCTTGCACAGCAGCCTTTCCCTGGGAGCCTGCATCTTATCAGGGAAGCATTTAGGAAGAGATTAATACCGAAGGATCAAGGTTATGATATCTTCTTTATCAGATAATACCGTTAAGAAATACACAGTAGCACTTAAAAAATGGTGGGTTTATTGCAATGGGAAAAATGTGTACGTGTTATCCATCCCCAAGATACTTAAATTCCTTAGCGAATTTTTTTAACAAGGAGCCTCTTATAACACTTTAAATACTTTTCGTTCAGTACTGTCACTATTAGAGCCAAGCTTAGGCACAGACAACCTTATCAGACGGTTTTTTAAAGATATTTTCCATCTTAAGCCTTGTAGACCGAAATATAGTGACACATGGGACCCTACAATAATTTTAAACTATATTTGCAACTGGTTTCCCAATGAAGAGTTACAGCTAGAAAAACTGACAAAGAAACTAGTCATCTTATTAGCTCTAACAAGTGCACAACGCATACAGACATTATCTGTAATTAGATTAAGTAATATAGAGTTTGATGATAAAGGGGTTAAGATTAAAATAGCAAATTTGTTAAAAACTTCTGCTCCAGGAAAACACCAAGCCAGTCTTTCCCTTCCATTTTTTCACACTAAACCCGAAAATTGTCCAGCTCTAACATTAAAGTGTTACATTGAAAAGATTCAA